TGATCTGACTCAGCTTGCGTGGCATTTTGTCATACCACTGACCATTTGGAGATGCTTTCTGCAGCTGGAGGCAACAGTTCTGCTTTGCTGGATTGTTGAGGCCCTTCACAGACGAAACACTGGGGGTCACCCCCTCACCCACTGAGCTTGGGGCTCCAGCCATATGGACTATTCCTGCTCACGATCATGTGTCTAAACTCCAGACGGTTTATAAAAACAACCCATTCACTTTTTCTTAAATTCCCCAGAAGGTTAAACACTTTATGTATCAGTTCATTTGCACTCGACTACTATACTGCAACACCAGAGGGAGAATTACTATACATGTAAATAGCTTTCAAAGACTTTGTTTGTTATTTTAATTTGTCGTGTTCTCTCTTTTTATATCTTCCACTCCATTGCGTCAATCCTGATGATTCCCCAGCTGATCCCCCTGTTCCAGCTCTGATGGAGCCCTGAGAGGCCGGGCCAGGCTCCACTTATCCCTGCCTCTCATGGGTATCCCAGGCCATTGATTTCTCTTCTTGCCTCCTAAACCAGCAGAATAGAGTGCCATGGGTAGGGTCATGTAATCAATAGCAGTTGATAACAATGAACAAAAGCTGCTGGGGTCGCCTCCAGTGTTACATTTGTCATGGTTGTGGAAAAGTAAATATATTTATGCTAGTGTTTGCGATATGTGCACCAAAATCCTGTTTCAGGCGGACAAACTGAAATGTTCCATCAATAGAAGAACATTTGAATGAGCGGATTATGAAAGGACAGTCAAAGTTAATTTAATTTAATGGAGAGACACGTACATTTAGTGTCAGGTGCAACTGAGAGATAATTCTTCTAAGTCTGCTATAAAAGGAGAGCATTTGTATTCACTCGCAGGGAAAAAAACATGCCCTTCACAGAGGGGATAAAAGAGCAGCACAAATAGATCAGACACTGCCACCAGATCCAGTGACACAATGAGCCTGGTGAAGTTCTATAAATTACAACCTGGCAGAATTTGCAGGAGATATTGAAGGAGTGCGGACAATGTGGCAGTGCCCGCATGTTCAGGGAGGTGCTAAGCTTTGTTTGCTATGATCATCTTGCAAGATAGTTGGGAGTGGAAATGATTCCTCTTTATGCCAAAACTTGCAAAGGGATCATGTATTTTGAACTGGACACACTTTCAGATGTACTCCATGTGGGGGGGTTTCTCTTTCAGGCTCTACCTTGGGGAAAAGGCAGCTATGACTAACCAGAAAGATAGCAAGACAACGAGTCAATAGCATTGCTATATAGCTGTGAGGCACAATGGTGCTTTGTTTTCAATGCTAACTTCAGTATGACACCTGCCCAAAAAATGGGATATTATATATTTGCAAATTAGCGCTAAACATGAAGTACAGCTAAGTCTGAGAAGGCTAACACATGGCTGCTGTAGACTGTCCTTGTTTTTTTGTTTATTTACATGATTTTATGCAATATCTTTTTAATTTTTGATATCCTAAAATAAATTCTATATCCTCTTATTGTGTGCCATCTTGTTTTTTCATTATCTCCAGTGACCCAATGAACATTTTATCTCTTATGTGATTATAGAAGCACTTTAATTATGTGCTGTGATTTTGAAAAAATACCCTGGCAGTCAGATCACATCTGCCATATGTGCCTAGATATAATCATGCTGTTTCCTGGAAGCTCACATAGCTAGTCATTAACAACTAATTCTGGTCTTATTCCAGGTGAAATAACCCAAAAATAGGCAATCTGTGCTTTGATGAAAATGAGTTCAAACATGCTATGTTTTGATGTGTTGATTTTGCAATTTAAAAAAAGAACTCAAAATATCGCAATTTCCCAAATGCATGCTTGTGTTACACTTCTGTGTGTGTTTGCTTCCCCTGAGTCCTTGTACAGCATTTATCAGAGGAATGCTGATAATTGCCTCGCTGCATGGTTGTCCTTCTCGTCTCAGAGAGGAAGCTGAAACTGGAGAAGGGTGCTTAGAGGTATGCCAGCATCCGGCCGCTAGTCACCTCTCCTGTCATCTGCGCTATGCAGCCATGGTATCCGGTGTGAGGCCAGTGGAAGACAAAGCTGGACACTCACATCTAAGCCACACAAACTCCTTCCATTACAATCAGTCTTCATTTGAATACAATGTGGATACACAATAGAGTAGGAGCGACTGACATTCATCCAAATCATCTGCACAAATATGAAGAGTCGAAGTGGAGATGAGGAATTCTACATCACAGAAGTGTTTACAGCTGCACATGCTGGAGACTAATCTTCACTGTATTGTTTGCACAGGCTCTATATGTAAATGAACTAAATGTATTTCATCGACATACATTCTTTTTGTTCTACGCACTACTGTTTTTCTGTAAGAATCCTTACTCTGCAATCTTAACATCTCTGTGAGTCTCATTTTTATCTGGAAAGGAAATTAATATTGTAGGTGTGGAATTCTGCTCTTCTTATCTCTCATCATTTCTGCACATGTCGTGAGAGGCACCTCATGTAGCACTGTTAATGTGATTACCAGCACCCCTTGTGTTATACAAAGAGTTATGTTTTCAGATATTGGATTTCTTTCCCATTCCTGTCTTTGTTATATAATGCATACCATTTTGTAACACATCTAGAATTGTCTAAATATATCATTTCTTTCTGTGCTGCTGCTGCTCTGACGCCTAAATCCCTTTTTGCATATCCTGATTTGGATGTTTATTTAATCCCATTTAATACAGTCTTTATGTTGCCTTTTGCTTCAGCGTTGTGGTGATAGCCCAACAGGGATCAATAAAAACTTTTATTGCAGGTGCACTCTCGCTTCACATTTGCGCCTGGAAGCTACTCGCTGCAGTCTTTTACTCTTCTCTGCAGCTCCTCTGGATCAGTTGGGGCTCAAGAGCATCTTGACAGTGACAGAGGAAGTAATTCTACTGCTTCACATTCTTGGCCACATTCTCTTCGCCACTCTGTATGTTTGGGCTATGCTACGCAATAAACTGGCATCTTGTAAAGCTGAAGCAAAGGCGGCTTGCGCATTCCATTATGACCCAACATGCCGCCATTACCATACAGAGCCTAAGGCTGAACTTCAGGGAGAAATGCTGGTCTGTTGAATGGCATGCATTTATGAATCCAGGCCTTGATATATTTATTTTTACAGTTCATTAGGCTATTTGTAAGTTACATTGATAATTAGCTTTCAAGGCGAGTTAGTTGGTAGATCATCCAAATGTAGAATGTAATTTGCATTTCCATTTAATAACAATTAAACAACAATTCCTCCATAAGCTAGAGTAAAGATTAATAAAAGAGTCTCTATCCATCAAGGTCAAGTGCTTTAACTGGTGGTGGCTGGAATAAATGACCTGGCCTTGTGAACTTCCAAAAAATATTAAAAAATTGAATCTGTATTCACAAATTCATCAAAACATGGGAAGGATTTACTTCAATTGAGGGAACAAATTATATAATGTGCACATAAATTAGTATAGTGTGGCCTCAGTATATACATATCTATATATATCTTTTATATTTCCCCCTGCCAGGCTCCACACATTACTGAGCAATTTAAAGCGTTTAATTTGATGCTCATAAGTCTAACCAGAGATGTCAGCATGCAGCAGAATCTGAGGAGAGTTTCCTCATTTATTCACACAGAAGCAATAAGAGATAAAGCCAGCTTCAGTTGGACCATATATTGGCTCAGTCACACCAATCATGCTCTTAGTGAGATGATAAGAAGCCAGCATGCATTTGCAAAATCATTATGTTAGAAATGTTAATTCTTGCCTCTTTCTTGGCTATGATGGTGTGAAAATACTGTCATTAACACATAAAGCTTTGTTCTCAAACCATAAATGCAAACATATTGTATTGGACAAATATGTAAATGTGTCATCTATAAATGGCAAGTTAGAATGGAAGTAGTGAAAACAGAAGTAGGTTTTGTTTACTTTCTCCAAAACAGAGGAAACAATTGAAGGGGTGGTAATCTCAAAGTGGAAATGGTTGTAGATAAGGATACCTTATTGGTGTTTGATTGCAGAAAGTGATACCATTACTTTAATAGAGACAGTTTGGGGTAATAGGTCAGTAAATCCAATTAAAAACAACTTTCCATACAACTATGTATTGTCCAACAGCCTTTTGGCGTCAAAATAAGAACTTGTTGCTTGAATTCCATTTCAAGACAACTCAATAAAGAAGCAATTCGGCTTTTATTGTACGTCTTTGATATTGGCAGTGTTACAGTGTTTATATTTTTTAACAGAACAAATTGGACTCAGCTAAAATGAAATTCCACTTTACCAAAAAGTAAATAACACACATCTGCTTTTTGCAACAAATGTTCCTCCTGGACCTAATGATTCACTCATGCAAATGTAAGGTTCAGAGTTCTGGTAAAAACATCCGATATGCATCACTAAACAGGAGAAGCAGCCATTTATTTACATATGAAAATAACACCGTTTTAAGGTGTCACCTAACCTGTCATTTAATGATGCTGCAGTCAAATTTGATCATATAATAATAAGATATACCAGAATATACGTGCACAATTATACACTGCCTTTTACTTAATTCAATTCATAGGAAGTTATAAAACTGTACTTCATATACTTAAATGGCAACTGATGAGTTTCAATTGGTTTATGATAAGGTTTGTTAACCATTAATTGACAAGCCCTATCTTTATAATCCCGAGTATTTGCATACAGAGAGGAACTTGGATATATTTGATCATATTGGCTGTACAAAATAAAGAAAATGAATGCATACAATTTAGGAAAAGCATGTTTTTTCACAGCAGCATATTATGTGTTCTGTACTAAGTATTTAGTTGTTATATTTACTGTAATTTCATATACTAAGAGCCTATGGGTGACAAGCGGAAGAGGTGAGGAACTGTGTGAGGGGGAGGGAAGAGAGACATTGAGAAACACTGAGTGAGAGAGTGTGTGTAATGTATGTATGTGGGTGTGTGAGTGAGAGAGCGAGAGAGGAAGAGTGCAGGGTGCGCTCCATCCACAGCCTCAGCACACCGGACTCATCCTCCACCAGCTGTGCTCCAGTTCCGTTTGCATCGGCTTTTACAGTTGGCGGATATAGCATGGATACGATTTAAGACACACTACTGAGCCGTGAGCAGTTTCACTTGCTAAAAACATCTTATTCTCTTAAAGCTCGTCCCACAGAAGTCACAATAATGATGGAGTATTGGAGGCAATGCGCGCTGTGGTTAATAAACTGCAAGGTGCTTGCAGCTAACCACCGGGTTACATGGGAGTCTGCTCAGGTATTTGACTTGGCTCAGACTCTCCGGGATGGAGTCCTCCTGTGCCATCTGCTCAACAACCTGAGACCCCAGTCCATCAACCTAAAGGAAATCAACCTCCGACCGCAAATGTCACAGGTAAGAAACGACTGCAGACAACCCTCATCTGTTCCCGTATCCAAACTACGGCTAAGCCCCGTTGAGGGAGCGCAACCAGACATCAGCAGAATGATGCTAGTTTTAAGTTTCCTTGCATCTCGGCATACATAAAAATACCCCAATGAACATGATTGAAGCAAATTCTAAATGAAAATAGCTATATTTCAAATTCGGCTTAATTTAATCCTCATATTAGGACATGTTTTCAATAAGATTTCAACTTTTTAAATCTTGGTTACTACGTTCGCTAACGCCCCCACTGCATATTTTGGTCGCGGGGAACGCTACAAATAAGTACTCAACAAATTATACGAGTTAGAATTATCATCACTAAAGACCATTAGAGTGTGGAATATATGCCGAACGAAGACATGGATCCATCCCTCTGTGGAAAGCTCATAACTGATGCTTATTGACGTCAGTACATTTGACAGTAAGCAGAACACACAAAATTGCCAAATAACTGAACGGGATTTGGTTGGCATCTATTTGGCCATTTTAGCACTATAAATAAATCATAATGTGAGCGAAACTGACGAAAACCTGAGTTTCTTTAAACATTTGACTTCATCCTGTAAATTGAGTAACTTATATTAACTGTTGGACAATGTTGGTCAACACTGAACCGTTATGTGCACAGAGCCCCTCATTCTGCCCTCTATAGGTGATGTAGAGACACAGGCGATAGAGGTTAGGTGGTGATGAGGCTTTGTTGTGGGCTATCACAAAGAAGTGTATTCATTTTACAGGATTAACATTAATTCATATCCAGGTTTATTTTATGAAAATACTTTCTGTTATATTATTATTGAGAATTCATGCAAATAGGCTATCTGTTTGACTTGCCTGACAACATGACGGAACAAAGACAATTAGAATCTCATGACTGGTTGTTTGATTGTGTATTAATTTGTAGCAATATTACAAAAATAGCTTATTCAATTAACTCTTACTTTACCACAAACACATCCCTCTACTACTGCTATAAATCCCCAAAATGATAGATAGATAGATAGATAGATAGATAGATAGATAGATAGATAGATAGATAGATAGATAGATAGATAGATAGATAGATAGATAGATAGATAGATAGATAGATTGATAAATAGATAGATAGATAGATGGATAGATACTGTAGGTAGATAGATAGAAAGAAAGAGGGTTATCTGTGTCTACATGGCTCCTGTTTGTCAGGTACCATCTGCTTCCATAACAGGACAGCCTGAGTCTTTGCCAGATTAATATTCTCCCTCATAACAGTGAATCTGGGTGTCTGGCTCGGTGTCAACACACAGTGACACACACACACACACACACACACACACACACACACACACACACACACACACACACACACACACACACACACACACACAACACACACACACACACACACACACACACACACACACACACACACACACACACACACACACACACACACACACACACACACACACACACACCCACACACACACACACACACAGATGTAGTGTATTATGATGTGATGGATGCCCTAATGCTCTCATCTGATGCAAGACAGTTGATACAAGTTTGAATATCATACTATCATATAAATGGATATGCTGCACAACCAATGGGGAAAGGGGGAGTAGGCCTTTTTCCTTGAACAAACACATACACTCAATGTTACAGTGAGATGGTATAGGTCCAGGATATGCACAATCTTATTGGGTATCCATTCAACCTGAGCACCAGGATCAAGGAGACAATTAAAAAACGCATAGAGGACTTTAATGTCATCAAGGGCAATGGAAATCAACTGTCAAAGGATCTGTTACTCGAAGATTTCAGAGACAACTAGATTGGGACTGTAAGCGGAGAAGTGGATTGATCAATTTACTCTTAGAAGTTGCGCTAGCACCAATGCAATTACTGATTATGGGACATCAATAGGTCAGTGTTTGCTGTCAGTCATGACATAATAACACACAGAGCTGCCATGCTTTGAGCGGTTGTTACCCATTCTAACGCGCAATGCCTGTACTGGCCTGGCACAGTCTGGGTTATTTATAGGCAGAGTTTGTTTTATGCATGGCTGAATGGCTTACTCACACAGCGCAGTGATGAAGCTATTCAGGGTTAAATTAGCATCAGTAGTAGGCTTAGGCACAGTCACATACATTTACAAAGTGCATGCAAGTTCACGTTTGTGGCAGCACTGCTTTCAGTGCTAAGGGCAGTGTGAGGTTTTTAGGTTATCAACCATTGTGGTTATAACTTCTCATGTCTGCTGTTTATTGCATCAAAAAACACGATAATTTTGATCTGTAAAAACCTACCAGAATTTACTGTTACGATCAATAGTGGCAAAGTGTACATTGATAAACTTTATAACATCAAATCTTTTTTTTTAGAACTTTACTACTTCATATGTATGTCAGTAGAGCATGACTCGTCACTTCCCCTTTCACACACACACAAACCATGTGATGGTGGAAACCAACTCCCTCTATGAGCACTGTTCAACAAAAAAATGGGCGTACACACCCCCCCAGCAACTTTCCTCCCTCTGTCTCCTCCAAGTTACATTTACATAACTGAGGGCGGAGTTGCTTCCCTTTCACCTGCATAATTCATGAGGGCCGTGGCAGCTACTTTATCATTGGCCAATAATAACACACGGGATGCCACTGTGGACTCACCCATGGGACCCATGCGATGGAAAGACAAAGGCAGTGAAGGGACAGAGCTACAAAGAGTCTGCCTGGCCTCCACAGACGCATCTCAGAGGACATAAAGGGCCCTGAAGGGCTAGCCCACTGCGCTGTTGTAAGCTGGGTAATTAAGGCACAAAGCATCAGAAGCTCTGGAGAATTCACATGTGTGATGTTGGCATGCTTTCCATTCTGCAACATTAATTTTGTTAGGGAAATTTGTATGTGATATAAAGTAAGTTATATCTGTTTAGACATGGGCTTATATAAGGGCAACAGAGAGCCAGCAAACTATGTAGGCAGGAAAAAAAGTGATATGAGGATGAAATCAGACTATTTACTGCTTAAATTGTCGGTGCTCTTGTAGTAAAAGATGAGGAATGAAGCACTGGTTCTGTATTTAAACTATGAGCTCTTCATTTTAAACAGTAAAGCAAATGTTGTCATGCACAAAGGTCTAGTTAAGGGTTCAATGTCAGTGTTAAACAAAATATTCACCCTCTTTGATCATATTTTACAGGGCTGTAATGAACCAATTACATAGTCTAGACGCGGCGGGACCAGGGCAACTGCTGCATTCATGATCTCCTACCAGAGAAAACCCCAAAATCACCACATAATCAGTAGTTGTTTTTTGTCTAAACCAGTGAAAACGAGCGGTTTAACGTTAAGAGGAACCATGGATTGCTAATCGTGGCGCAACGAACCGACCATGTGGTCAAACATGCAGCATGCAGTCTTTCCATCCATCTGTTTCTTGAAGCATTTGGCTTGAAGTTCTGCTGAATCTCTGTTTTTACTGAGAAGACAGCAAATATATTCCAAATACAGCTTGTATTACATGGGAGCAAGGATATTAAACTCCTTGAGTGGGTGTAATGCAGCTAGCAAAGAAGTGTGCTACAAACAAACTAGCTAGCAGGCTAGCAGAGAAGCAGAGAACAAGACAGCTAATGATACACTCAGTTCAAAGACACAAACAACTGCTCAATCAGTTATCATTCATTCATTCTCTTATCATTTCATTGAGATGTTAATCTTGAAACGTGCCCTGACAGCCCTAACTTGTTAAACCTACTGTTGCCTTGTTCTCTATGACACAGAATTATAAGCTGCAGATTCAGTGAGAACAAAACCTGGCAGCTGAAAGCCTCTCACACACATCAGCCGTGAGCCTCAACATGCACAGGAAATCAGGAAATGGAATAGAGGAAGGAAGTGAAACCAAACATGCCCTCGATCAAGCTCAGACCAAAGCACTGAGATGTCAGAGACAATAAAGAGAAAAGCTGCCACGCTCTTTACATAGCAAAAAAAAGAAAGAACACACTTTGCTCTTCATAGCGCCGTCTTCAAAGACTTCACTTCATTTTGGGAAAGTGAAAGTGAGAGAAAGAGTCTGAGTAAGATCCGGGTCTAATTTGAACGAGCTCCGAGAAGTACAAAGTGTTTCAAAGAGCAACAAAGTGCATCAATGCACGGAGATACAAGAGAGAAAAGGCTTCATAGATTTAACACAGAGATGCGATCATGTCTCAATCAACACCTTTGTGAATAGATTGCATGCTATTTTAATTATAGGATGCAGAATACAGTAGCTCATAATACATATACCGTAATGGATGTAAGGACATTTCTTTAAGTACATTTAAGAAAATCATGTGCAAAGAAGCCTGCTTAATTAATAACAAAATAGCCTTTTGTGCTTTTATTTTAATAGGGGCAGCAGGTGTGTTGACCAGTTGGCGAACTGATCTGATTTTGACTCTTGGAGAGTGCACATATAGTACTATTTTCCACTTTCCACATGGTGCACATGTATATTTTTTCAGGCCAAGACCAAAATCCTGTGATGTCAAACAATAAAAAAGAAAAATCCAGCTTTACGCACAAGCACTCCTTCAAAGGCTCCAAGGCTCACTCTTCACTCGCTAAGACACAAGTTCGATAGAGATAGCGTGGGAGAATGAGAAAGACAGAGAGAGAACGTCCTTTTGTTAGTGCAGAATAACACCTCTGCAAGTCATATAGGCAGATTTTGATTAAAATATAGACGTGATGTTCCAAATGTTAGCAGGTAAACATATTACTGTGTACAATATATGGTAAGGTTAGATTAGGTACTTAAGTGTAATCAAAGAGACATAAAGACTATTGTGGGAATCCCATAATAAAGCAGAATAAGGTCATAGATAAGTGAAGTGTAACCATGTGAAGCGTTAAAAGAGGTAGTTAATACTTTATGCATCTCTGTGTGTGAGTGTGTGTAAACAGGCTAATTACACACTCTGATTTCT